CCTATCTTAGATCACTCATAAAAATTAACTCAAAATGGATTAAAGACTTCAATGTAATACCAGAAACCATAAAATTTCTTGAAGAAAACAGAAAAAAAGCTCCTTGACATGACTCTTGGCAATGCTTTTTTAGATGACACCTAAAACACGAGCAACAAAATAAAAAACAAGTGGGACGACCTCAAACTAAAATACTCTGCACAGCAAAAGAAATAACCAACAAAAGGAAAAGACAGCCTTTTCCTTTATGGGAAAAAAATATATGCAAATGACATTTTATAATGGGTTAATATCCAAAAAATATAAAGAACTCATACAACTAGATAACAAAAAACCAATCAGTGAAAAAATGGGCGAAGGACCTGAATAGACATTTTTCCAAAGAAGATATATGAATGGCCAACAGATATATTAAAAGCTGCTCAACATCATTATTCAACAGAGAAATGCAAATCAAAACCACAATGAGATACCAGTTCACATCTGTTAGAATACTGTTACCAAAAGATAAGAAGAGATAACTAATACTGGAGAACATGTGGAGAAAAGAGAATCCTTCCTTGTTCATAGCAGATGGGAATGTAAATTTGTGCAACCACTATGGACACCGGTATGGAGTTTCCTCAAAAAAAAAAAAATCCCACATAATCTAGCATTTCCACATCTAGGTATGTAACTGAAGACATTAAAACAGTATGTCGAAGAGGTATCTGCACCCCCATGTTCATTATTTACAATAACTAGGCCATGGAAATAACCAAAGCGTCCACTGAACATGAATGATAAAGAAGTTGTGATATATAGATAATGGAATATGATTCAGTCATAAAAAAGGAATTCCTGCCATTTGTGACAACATGGATGAACCTTGAGGGAATTATGTTAAGTGACAGAAGTAAGAGAAAGACAAATACTGTATTATCTCACTGACATGTGAAATCTTAAAAAAAAAAAACAACCCAGAAAGATCAGATTTGTGGCTATCAGAGACAGGGTCGGGGAGAGGAAATTGGGTGAAGGTGGTCAAAGGTACAAATTTCCAGTTATGAGATCAATAAGTACTGGCGACATATCAGCAGTCCCCAACTTTTTTGGCACTGGGGACGGGACGGGTGCTCCTATGAGAATCTAATGCCCGATGATCTGAGGTAGAGCTGAGGCGGTGATGCTAATGCTGGGGAACGGCTGCAAATACAGATGAAGCTTCGCTCACTTGCCTGCAGTTCACATCCTGCAGTGTGGCCCTGTTCCTAACAGGTCACAGACCGGTACCTGTCTGTGGCTTGGGGGTTGGGGACCCCTGATGAACAACATAACTAATCATAACTATAGTTAACACTGCTTTCTGGTATATGTGAAAGTTGCTGAGAGTAAATCCTGAGTTCTCATCACAAGGAAATAACATTTTCCTTTTTAAAAAATATATAAGATGATGAATGTTCATTAGACTCCCTGTGGTTATCATTTCACAATATATGTAAGTCAGATCATTCACACCTTAAACATATATAGTGCTGTATGCCAATTATATCTCAATAAAACCAGGGAGGAAAAGGCTAAGTAACTTGCAGAAGGTCACATAGCTAAAGCCAAGAGACACCAACATTCAAACTCAGTACTGTCTGGTCCAACAGCCAAATACTGCTAAGGACTTTGGTCTGTACTCTGTTCTTGGTAGGGACCCACAGAGGTTTTCAAAAATAGTGGCAAAGGTAAGAGCTGTGTTTTACTAAGATCTTTCTGCTGGAGGGTGAAACCTGGGGTGGGAGAGGCCAGGGGCAAACGGATGATGGCTATATTTATGTGTAGAGTTTATTTGGTGTTTATTCACATGCAAGCCCAAACTTTTTATTGAACACAGCTGTTTTGGAGCCGCTCAAGGAAAGCTGCAACAGTGTTCATTATCTGTAGCTGATTAACTGCTGGTGAGCCTATAGGGTGCTGTGGAGAGCAGCAGGCCCCAGGCCTGATTTTAGGGTGTAGGAAATAACCACCTTTCTAAGTCAGTTAAAAGCTCCTTGCAGTGCCTGGTGCAGCCCCCCTCCTGCCCTAAAGGCTGATTTCACACAAGATTCCTGTCTTTTCCTGGCGTGACAAACAGTGCCATCCCTCTACTAGAAGATGTACCCCACTTCCCAAAAGCTAACTGTAGAAAAAGATGGAGTTATGGGGCAGTGCCACTCCACAGTTCAGTTTCTTTTATTTGAGAGGACAAGTGTCTTCCACATCCTCTGCTTTGCGGGCAGGAACTCACTGGGGAGCCCAGGTGCTGGCTGAAGCTGTAACAGCTCTGGCTGTAAGTGGACACAACTACCTCATTGACTCCGGTGTGGAGACTGAGTCTGTCTGATGGTCCCAGTGCTCTGAGTAACAGCCTCTATGCCCCCATTCTCCTGGTTTATTGAGAAACTTAACTGCCCAATTATCCTTTCCACCCTGGGCTCCGGGTTCTCACAGTCCAGCCTATCCTTGCTTATTCACCTCTAAACATACTGGAGAAGAACGGATGGAAGGTGGTTTACACAGGTTGAGGCAAAAAGGGAAGTTTTACACAGCAATCGCTCATAGATAGCGACTTTCCAGCCCATTTCAGCCTGTTCAGTATGATTTCAACCTTTAAAATAGTCAAGTCTTGACTGATAATAAAACTCACACTTTGAGTCTGAGCTTCATTTCCTCTGGGACCAAGGTTCAATCTGCGCAACCTATCCCTGCACACTTTCCAGTCTGCCTTTCTCCCTCCTCGACATGTTTCCTCTAACAACAGCCTGCTCTGACTGCACTTGTTTGTCAAGCCCCGTTCCCCACCCTGCCCCTCAGTGTTCCTTAGGTTTGGTGTCAGACACCACACACTGTCCAGGGACAGCACTCCAGGCTCCTGCACTGAAGATGGAAGATATATAAGGCTATAACAGAATCAATGTGTTTTTATCACCAGACATTCAACTTCCCACAACGTGCAGCTTCCCAGAAGCCCTTTAGGAGTTGATGTCCCAGATCTCAGAACTGCACGACGGTGCAGCCTGTGTAGTTGCCTCCCCAGGTGGGCACACAGACTATGAGCCCACTGTTCTTGGGGGCAGTGACTGAAAGCTCATTTGCTGCTATGGGCTCTTACTGACAGGACCTGTCAGCTCCTGACTCTTCAAAAGAGTCAGAACAGTCTGACAGGGAGGCATTTCAGCGAGGGAGCAGCTGTGGGGGCCTGACGTGGTAAGACTCGCTGCCTTGTTTAGATCCTAGGTTTCAGCTGAAATACTTAACAAAAAGTTCCTCTGGGATGGCAGCCAGTGTACATCCTGGCAGAATTTCCTGGGGGGAGCAAGGACCATTCCCAACCGTGGCTTCAGAGGCAGAATGTCTCAGCTCAAAGCCAGCTCTGTAACCTTGGTGGGTTGATTAACCTCTCCATGCTTCAGCTTCCTCATCTGCAGCATGGGGATAAGAGTATCTACCTCAGAGGGTTATTTTGAGGATTAGATGAGTTAATATTACATGTAAAACTCCTTAGAACAGCGTTTGGCACAGGTGTCAATAAATGCCACCTACTAGCATCAACAGTAGTAGTAACTTCAGCATTACCTTGATGACCGTGAGTGCCGTCCAGGCAGCTCTTCGTCCTCAGCCTGCTCTGAGGTGAAGAGCACAGCGCCCACCTCCGCCTCCGCCTCCATTACCTTGACCACAGCTAACACCACCTTTGCTGAGAATGTACGGGAAAGGCCCTTGGACTTGACTGAAGCAGACGCAGCTTCAAGTGCTGGACCTGCACCACTAGGACAAGTCATTTTTCCTCTCTGAGACCATTTGCTCATCTGAAAATGAGAACACTAATCCCTCTCACGATTGCTTCCTGGTGTGGCTAGGAGAGCAAAGCTATGACATGACTTTGTAAACAGCCCAGAGCTTGCACAGACTTAAGGATGCTCTGTAGCGCAGGCTGTGCAAGCACGAAACACACACACCCCTGGGTCAGACAGTCTTTGGCACAACAGACCCTGAGGCCACTGCGTGCATCTCACAAAAACCGCTCTCACTGTCTCTTCGCTCTCTGTCAACATTAGGTGCTCTCCAGCCCTTTTATCTCCTGACAGGGCCGTTGATATGCGGCACACCTGTACTCCCAGTGATTTGCTTGCTTTGTTCCCCCATCAACCTTCCTTTCTCTGGAGATGGAGGCCACATGACATTCCACCTGTCGGCAATGTGTCCAGCTCTCCCCCGGGCACTGGTCATCACCATAAGGCCTAATCTGGAATTAGGCCCTAGTGAGGCCTGCAGTGTGAAGGAGATTATGAAATATGTGAAAACTCACAGTAAAGGACACTTCCAGTCTCTGCATAATACCTGGAGGTGTTTGGCTTACTATTTTAGGAAGCTTCCACCCCTCCTCCCAGCACCTACTCTACGTTCTGAGTGTGGTAGATGTTTACACAGGTTTTTGTAATGAATTTCAGTCACTCAATCCACTATATCCAGGCACTGATGTAGGTGTTTGGGGTAGGACTAATATCTGGGTAGTAAACAAAAGAAAAACAAGACACCTTACATGTGCAGGGCTTTAGAATTTATGAAGCACACATTATCTCATTCTATAGCTTGTCATACAAACAGGATCGGTGCAGCCAATGTTAAACTTCGCTTCCCAGATGGGAAAACTGAGGGTCGGGGAGGCCAAGTGATTTGCCCAGGGTCAGATAACCTGTGAGAGCTTCACCTGGAACTCAGGCTTCCTGGTTACAAACTGAGGGCTTTGTCCTCTACACCAGGCTATCCTGGGTGCTTTCCTATCTTTCTTGAGAAAAACACCTTCCAAATAGCTCATCCGGTGTAAATTACTGGGATCTGCACCTGTGTAAATTTCATGGGTAGGCTCAATTAAATTGGCCTCGTCACCCCAGCACATGGAATTCACTAGAAATATCGCAGCGCTCAGGGGGTGGCGTGTTAGAGGTAGCGGGACAAGCAGAGAACAACGCTGCGGCACCCCATCTCCTTACCTTCTCCAGGCCCGCTGGATGACCGCTGCTGCCTTGTTCTTTGTGCGAAACAGCTCTTTCCTGCTTCTTTCTTTCTGGATTATCTGCAGCCGCAGCTCTACAGGGAGAAGGTCAATATTCACACTCTGTACAGAGTGAGGACCAGGAGCTGGATCAGTCTCCTTAGGTACCTGAGCATCCTCAGACAAGGTGGATATCCCCAACTTCCTGACTCCCGACCTCAACACCTCTGTGCTCTGTGGCAAATCTGAGTGCATCTCTCCTTCAAGCTTGTCCTGTGTCACCTTGTTTCTTGGTGTCCGATGGTGAAGAGGATTCTGCCCAGCATGGACCACCTCCCCCTTGGCACTGCCAGGCCGGCTAGAACCAGCTGGGGAGCACCTTCCTCCTCTGAGCTCTTGAATGCGCCTTTTCTGGGAGGCACATTTGGCTTTAGGTGCTGTGTCGTGCCGCCTGCTCGGCTTCCGGTGGCCATCCTGCTGCTGAAGGCTTGCAGCTGCCCAACTGGGGTCGTCTCCATTTTCATCTGGCCTAGCCACCCTGATACAGGAGGGCTGCTTCAAGAAGCCTTTCCCCTTGTCACAATGCTGCTCGCCAACTGTCTCACCTCTGGATTTGTCAACAGAGGAGACTCCTGGATACCTGGCGCCATCACTGCCTTCACTGGGGCTAAAGTGGACACAGGAAGATCGGCCTTTAGAATGTTCTCTAGATGTTTCTTGGAGAAACAAGGAAAAGGGAAAAGGATATTTATTGTCCAAAACTTGCAATAGTAGGGCAGGTCTGTTCATTTGCTCACATAAAATATTCATTCCCATCCTATAGCATCACCATGATAGTTACCTAGGTAACCAATATTGTGCTCACTGCTATAAGAAAGATGTGATGGTATGATTCTTAGCCTTAATTATAATTCAGTATGGCTGGTACATAGTGTGAGCTCAAAAACATACCTGTTGAATGAATGCATGAATAAATGATTTAGTGAACTGAGTAGAAGGAAAGCTTTGACTCTTACAAAAAACATGATTATGCTCAGTGAATGCTTTTCATGTCATGTTTAACAACCTGTCTTCTATCTCTGAATCTCAAGCATCTAGCTAGTACCATACAGCTACACATTCAACAAATACTTACTAGGTGTTAAGGATACAGAAGAGACTCATTACTCCTTATGAAATTTAAGGGCCAAAGGGTCTTCCCACCCCGGCATGCACTCACCTTTGAAATGTGATCTTGTAACACCTTCCATCTACAAGTGGAGTCTATGTCTCCACCCCCTTGAATCTGGGCTGGCCTTGTGACACGCTCTGATTAACAGAATGCGGTAGAAGTGATGTGAAAGTTGTGGAGCCTAGCCCGCACGAAGACTTGTAGCATTTGCCTTCTCTTTCTCAGAGCACCGCCCGGAGAATAATATGCAAGGAAGATGGTCTAATGTACTTTTAAGCAAATTTAAATTTGAACTGAAATTCTGTTACACGAAGACTCGTAGCATTTGCCTTCTCTTTCTCAGAGCACCGCCCAGAGAACAATATGCAAGGAAGATGGTCTAACGTACTGGAGGATGAAAGGTCATGGAGAAGAGAACTGAGACACCTTCGCCAGCTGCCAGCACCAATCGCCAGACATGTGACGGAAGCCGTCTGTAGCCACATGTGTAAGCCCAGGTGATCTAGGAGAGGCACTACCCAGCCAACCCACAGAATTGTGTAAAATAATAAATCGTTTTTGTTTTAAGCCACTTAGTTTTGTGGGTGATGTGTAATGTCACAAGGGATAACCAACACACAGAAACTGATACCTAAAAAGGAGAGGTGCTGCCCTAACAAAAATCTAAAACCCACGGCACTGACTTTGGGACTGGTTGGTCAGCAGAGGCTGGAAAGGTAATGAAAAGACCATCGGTGAAGGCTGGAAGAGCAGAAAATTAAATTGCTATGAAGTCTGGAGAAAGGGGAACTGTGCTTGCTATTCAGTGGCAGAATACTTGGCACTGTTTATTCATATAAATAGAGAACAGAATTTCAGTTCAAATTTAAATTTGCTTAAAAAAATAATTTTAATGTAAATTCAGATACTAATCTAAAAAGATATAGTCTGTAGACACAGGATACAACCTTTATACATTACATGCAAAGTCCTCAAGCTAAGAACTTGAAGAAATTCCACATGGCTGTCACATCATGGTAGTTTAGTGAATGCTGACTGAATAAATAAATTAATGAGTAAAGCATCACACTATCCTTAAGGGATATATCGCTAATGCACTGTCTCTGTAAAGTGGGTTATGGAATTATAGCCTGGAAATGTTTGTGGCCGTTGATGTATACTTTTATGTGGTTGTTCTTGGCTAGATCAGTAGTGTGGTTTAATAATAGTAGTTACTGAAGACCTACTATGAGTCATGGTCTATAACAAGTACTCCACATTATTTTATTTCTATTCATAACTGCCTTGCAGTGTGGAGAGTATACCCCGTTTTTATGGCTAAGAAAACTGAAGTCCAGAGTGACAGACTGAATTCTCTAAGTCCTGAATTAGGTGATCCCAGAGACGCTTGCTGGGGGTCCACAAGGTCAAAACTATTTTTATAACAATACTAAGACATTATTTGACTTTTTCACTTTGTTGGCATTTGCACTTAGATTTCTGGAGGGTTCTCACCATTCCCTAACTGATAAGAATGGCTCGATGTGCTTAAATTGCTTTGTACAAATAATATATTTATGCTAGATACCTCTTTTCCTTCTTGGAGTCTGGATTTTGGTGTACGCTAAGAAGATGGGACTTACACGACTGACCCATGATAAAAATCTTGGAGTCCTTGCTTTAGGTCACTTTCTTGGTAGAAAAATGTTGTCTAACTGGTTGTTAAAATTCACTGCTGGAAGATGTACGTGTGTCCTGTGTGCCTCCTCTAGGAGAGGACTTTTGGAAGTTTGCACCTAGTTTCCTCCGGACTTTGCTCCATGTGCCTTTTCCCTTTGCTGATTTTGTTTTGAATCCTTTTGTTATAATAAATCATAGCCATGAGTACAACTATATACTGAGCCTTGTCAGTCTCCTAGCAAATTACTGAACCTAGGGAAGGTTTTGGGCACCCACGACATACTAAGTAAACTCAAAACAGGACTCAACTCCAAAAATCCATGCCAAGACACATCATACTAAACTCTTGAAAACTGAAGATAAAGAAAAAGCCTTGAGAGCAGCCAGAGAGAAATGACATGTTACCTAGGAACATTACTGAGGAACACAGTTCGAATGACCGTGAATTTCTCATCTGAAACTAGGGAAGGCAGAAGGAAGTGGCACAGGTTTTTTGAAATGCCGAAAGAAAGCTGCCAAGCGTGAATTCTGTATCCACATTAACAATTCTTCAGGAATAAAATAAAAATATTCAGACAAAGGAAAACTCAAAGAATTTGTTGTTAGCAGACCTACCTCTAAATTGGCTGAAGAAAGTTCTTCAAACAGAAAGGAAATGATAAAAGAAGAAATTTGGAGCATTCGGAAGACAAAACATCAGAAAAAAATACGCACACATAAAACAGACTATCATTTCCCTCGTGAGTTTTATAAATTACTTTTGAGGAGTGAAACAAAAATTATAAAACCACCTGATACCCGTGCAATGATATTTAAAAAAGGAGAAGGTTACTGTACCTAAATGCAAGTGGGTTTCCACATTTCACTCAATGTGGAAGATGCTGATACCAGTAGACTGTTATAAGTCTCTTGTATATATTGTAATACTCAGAGCAATCACCACAAAAGCTATAGAAAGAGGTACACTCAAAACTGTTATAAATCACTCAAGATGGAATCCTAAAAGATGTCTCAGTAACCCAGAGGAAGGGGAGAAAAAAGAAACAGGGATGAGAACCAGAGGAAATAAATAGAAAACAAATAATAAAATGGTAGACTTCAGTGCTGACCTAATTAATCAAATGTGAGTGGTCTAAATACAACAGTCAAAAGAGCCCACAGTCCATGGTTTGGCACGGGATAACAAAGGCAATACATTTACCATTTGGCTTTCTGGGTTCTGTTCTCTGCAAGTCTGGGGAAAGAGGCTGCTCTTTCTGGAGGGCTCTGCTTGGAGACCTTCTGCCAGGAGACCCTCTGCAGGCTCTCTGCTCAGGGCCCTGGGCTGTGTTGCTGGCAGGAGGCTGTTTGCTGGGGCCCCAGCTCTGCCTGTGGGGCTCAGCGTGGGTGCTGGGAGGGGCTTGGGGCCTGCAGGGATCTGGGCTCAGCCTTCCCTTCTGCTGCTCTGCTTCTCTCCGCTTGTTTTCTTCCTCTCGCTTCCTGGAAGCAAAGCCAAAGAAGAAGAGGAAAAAAATTAGGACTGTTACCTGCTCAAGTGTTCCTGAGTGAGATTTAAATTTTAAGAGGAGCTACCACATCACAGGAGGGATTTAGAAATTCACATTTTCCAGGAGCAGACTTTTCTCCAAGCTTTATAGCTCTAAGATGATGGAACTGAAAAGAATCTTACAGGTCAGCCTTTGTCCTGTTGAGATACATATGACATAACCAGCGAACTTTTTGTGAGATATAACACAATCCCAAGGTGTATGTCCCCAAGCCTTTCTCCTGTTTCAGAAAGCAACTAAGAATGACAGTTATAAGGGTAACCTTTCATTTTCTCCATTAAAATGATCATTAGCAAATCTTAATGATTATATGAAAAAATTACAAAGCACCTCACAACTGATCATGACACACTTGTGGTTGCAACCCATCAAGAGCTCTAGCTAATGAGCCAAACCCACTCATTTTGCAGATGAGGTCCAGAAGGTAGGATGATTTTCAAAAAGTCTTTGGAGTCAAATTCACAAAAACACCTCTGAGACCAATGTCCAGAAGTTTAGTGGTTTCTTTTCAATATGTTCACTTTTAAATATCTATGTTTTCTTCTATGATAAAGGGGGTCAAATATGGTGATGACGGGAAATTAGACTTGGTGGTGAGTATGCAGTAGAGTATACAGGTATCAAATTATAATGTCCAACTGAAATTTATGTTATTAACTAGTGTTACCTCAATAAATTTAATAATAAAGAAAGAAAGAAAATATTATCCAAAAAAAAAAAAGGTCACATACTAGTAATTGGTGGCTAAGCTGGAACCTTTGGAGAGCAACAGAACAGAAGGCCAGGTCTAGAAATGAGCGGCAGTGTGAAGCCGATGGCCTGAGGCAGCCCAGGTCCAAGAAGGGGCTGAGTTAAGGACAGGGATTATTTGACAGGCACCATGAACACAGAGGCATTTCCAAGGGAAAGAAAGGAGGGAGAAAACACGCATTCTGAGCTTCTCCTGTGTGGGCACCGATGGCACAGTGAGGAGGTCCTCAGAGTCCAGCCCTCTTTTGAGGGACCTTCTACTCAGAGGAGAATAGCTAGGAAAACAAAGGCCTAACATAGAATGGAAGAAATGTTTTAAGAGTGCTTGCGCAGAGAAAGTCGTAATTAACGTTGTCTGGAGAATCCCGTACAGAGTCTCAGCTGTCGATCCTCAA